AGTAATCAAACAGTAGGGCAAAGGCATAACAGTAGACATATAGATCAAGAGAACAGAATTTACAGTCCATTAATAAACCTATTCATCTATGGTAAATTGGTTTTGACAAGTATGCCAAGACTATCCAACGGGGAAAGAACAGCCTCTTCAACAAATGGTGCTGGAACAATTGGATATCCACAAGCAAAAGAATGAAGTTGGACCCTTACCTCACACTATATACAAAAATTAACTCAAAATGGATCAAAGATATAAATGGAAGAGTTAAACCTATAACACAGGGTATATCTTCAAGATCAATGGTTACTCAAACATGTCAAAAGCAAGCAACAGAAGAAAAGATAGATAAATTGGACTTCATAAAAAAATTTAAATGTTGTGCTTCAAAAGAGTAAAAGGACAACCCGTAGAATGGGGGGAACTGCAAACCATATGTCTGATAAGGGTCTAGTATCTAGAATATATAAAGAACTCTTACAATTCAACAACAAAAAGACAACCCAATTAAAAGTGGGCAAAAGGGCCCTGGCCAGTTTGGCTCAGTGGTTAGAGTGTCAGCCCGCAGACCGAAGAGTCACGGGTTCGATTCCCAGGCAAGGGTATGTACCTCAGTTGCAGGTTCAATCCCTGGCCCCAGTCAGGGTTGTTCAGGAAGCAACCAATCTATGTGTCTCTCTCACACATCGATGTTTCTTCTCTCCCTCTCTCTCTCTCCCCTTCCCTCCCACCCTATCTGATAATAAATGGAAAAATATCCTCAGGTGAAGATTTTTTTTAAAAAAGGAAGAAAATTCTGCCCAACCAGTGTGGCTAAGTGGTTGAGCATCAACCCATGGACTAAGAGGTCGCTGGTTCAATTCCCGGTTGTGGCACATGTCTGGGTTGTGATCCTCATTGTGGGTGTGCAGGAGGCAGCCAATCAATGTGTTTTTCTTATCAATGTTTCTATCCCTCTCTCCCTCTCGCTCTAAAATTCAATAAAAACATTTTTTTTTTTTTAAAGAAAAAGGAAGAAAATTCTGACATAAGCTACAACATGGATAAACCTTGAGGACATTGTGCTAAGTGACATAGCTAGTCACAAAAACACAAATTCTGTTTGATTTCTCTTACAAGAGATATCTGAAGTAGTCAAATTCATAGAGACAGAAAATCGAATGGTGGTTGCCAGGGGTTGGGGAGGTGTAAATGAGGAGTTGTTTAATGGGTATAGAGTTTCAGTTTGGGAAAATAAGAGTTCTGGAGATTGTTTGCACCATGTAAATAGCCTTAACACTACTGAATTATACACTTCACAATGGTTAAAATGGTAAATTTTATGTTATGGGTATATTTTACCACGATTTTTTAAATAATTTTTTTAAAGGCAAAGACTTGGAATAGGCATTGCCCCAAAGAAGACACACACATTGCCCCAAAGAAGATACACAAATTGCCACCTAGCACATAAAATGATGCTCAACATCAGCATCCTTCGTCACTAGGGAAATGCAAATCAAAACCAAAACCCACCCACTAGGACAGCAATAATTGTTTTAAGTGGGGTGAGGGGTAGATAAGTGTTAGTGAGAATATAGAGAAATTGAAACTCTCATATATTCCTGGTGGGAATTTAAAATGGTTCAGCCACTATAAAAAACAGTTTCACCGTTCATAAAAAAGTTAAACATTGAATTGCTATTTGACCCAGCTAGTGTATTCCAGGAATTGAAAACCAGTGTTCAAACAAAAACTTGTACATAAATGTTCATAACACTATTCATAAGAGCCAAAAAATTGAAACAACCCAAATATCAGGCAACAGATGAGTGGATAAACAAAATGTGGTACATCCTTGCAATGGAATATTATTCAACCATTAAAAGAAATGAACCACCAATATGCATGCTATAACAAAATTTATAAAACATAAAAATACCCCCAACATAAAATTTACCTTTTGTTTGGCTTATTATTACTTTAATTTATATTTCCTTGATTAATAGAGATGATGATCATGGTTTGTTTTTCTTTAATCCTCACCCAAGGATATGTTTATTGGTTTGAGAGAGAGAGAGAGAAACATCTATGTGAGAGAGCAGCCTAGATATGTGCCCCAACCGGGGATCAAACGGCAACCCTTTTGGTGCACAAGACAACACTCCAACCAAATGAACCACCTGGCCGGGGCAAAATTTACCATTTTAATTATTTTTAAGTATTCAGTTTAGTAGTGTGAAGGCTATTTATATTGTTGTGCAAATAATCTCCAGAACTCTTTCTTATAACCTTGAAAACATTATGCTAACTAAAAGAGGCCAGACACAAAAGCTGCATATTGGATGATTCCATTTACATGGGATGTCTGGAATAGGCAGATCCCTAGCGACAGAAAGCAGATTAGTGGTTGCCAGGGAGTGGAGGGGGGAGAGAATGGGGGTGACTGCTGATAGACACAGGGCTTCCTTTTGGGGTGATGAAAAATTGCTAGAATTAAAGAGCTGTAATGTTCGCACATCATGTGAATGTGCTAAATTCCATTGAATTGTATACTTTAAAATGGTTAAAATGGCAAATTTTATGGTATTTTACCACAATTTAAAAATCACTGAGGAGACACAAGATTTTTACAACACAATGAAAAAAGACTTGACCTTATCGATACATATAGGACATTACAACCAACAACCGCAGAATACACTTTCTTTTCAAATCCACATGAAACAGCTACTAGAACTGATCTCTCTCTGGACTGAGAAGCAAGACAACAAATTACAAAGATGTGAAATCATACCAAGTAAGTTATCTGATTTAAAATAGAATAACAACAACAGGGCAAAAAGACAGGTATGCAGAAAATTAAAATAAATAAATAAATACCAGATCATTCCAAAGCCAAAGGGAGGGAAATGAATTGAGACCTCCAAGTTCCCAGCTCCTCTCTCCCCACCTCACCCCATTTGGATGAACAGAGCCTCCCAGCCTGCCCCTGACCCTCAGACCCTCCCCAGCCTCCGTGTCCCAGCAGAAGAGTTATGGCCAGCCTGGCCACGTGCCCATCCCAAGGCCTGGGCTATTTGAGGAGCTGCAGCCAGCCCGGTGAGGAGAGAGGGGAAAGGCTCAAAGCAGGGAACACCGCTTCCTTGGGGATCCTTTGGAGAGTTCACAGTAACTGCAACAACCAAACCGTAGGCTATACTAGCCCTGTCTCCTTAAGCCTCGTGGGGAATTTACAGTGGGGTAACTGAGGTTTAGAGTTAAGTGATTTGCCCAGGCCACACAGCTGTGTGTGGGGAAACCCAAGACCCTTGCTCTTGGTGTTGAGCGATACTGCCTCAAAGCCTCTTGGCTACTAATCTGAACAACCCTGCCCCACCCACCTCTGATCTACGAAGGTGCTGATGTTCCTCTTCAGCTAGGCCATTGATGTGGGGAAATGGACAGCTAAGCCCACCAAGCTCAGGGGTATTATCGACCCAGGGGCTCATTGACTAGTGGCTGCTGCTCCCCTTAGCAGCTCTGGGCCATGGAAAGGGGCATCCAGGGCTTGGCACAGCAGTGACTGGGTCCTGAGGTTGCTCTCAGGCCCAACCAAGGGTAGGTGGGGTGTGTTTAACGTTCCTTTTAAGGTGTGCTGGCAATACCCGTTCTCCAAAAACAGAGTGAGCTGGTCTTGGGGGAACAGTAGCTGGTTAATAGGTGTTAGCTCTGGTGACACTCCCACGGAATACACACATCTTCCCTCGTACCCGCTCTCAGGCCAGGGCCCAGGTGCACATAACCGAAGTTGTCACATGACTACTCTTCCTACCAAGGCCACCGAGGCTCTCACCTCCCCAGGCCAGATGCCCCAGTGTGCCCTTGCCCACTCAGGCTGCCACTGGACTGTGGCCTTTACATTTTTAACTCTGCAGAAATCTGCAGTCTGGGCCTTCGGGTTCTCTATCATTTAAATGCTAATAGTAACAATGAATACTATTGTTATTCTTACATAACAATATTATTCCTAATTAAATCCTTACTAGGCACCAGACCTTGACACTTGGTGTTGTGTCTATTACCTCTCAGCCCTCCCAGGATGATGTGGGAAAATCAATACTCCCACCTCACAGATGCAGAACCTGAGACCCAGAGAGGGCCAGTGTCCTGTCCAGGGTCCCAGAGCCACCACGTGGAGGCAAGAGTAGGATCTGAAGTCGGATCTGTCCCAGTTCTTTCTTCCATGCTATGTGCCCTGGACTTTCGGGGTCAACCCTGGAACCAGACATGCTGGCCTGTTGTCCCCATGAGTCACTAAAATATCCCCAGCCCAACAGGGGGCTCTGAGCTGGGTAAGCAATGATAGGACAGTGATTGGTGGGGCCAGACACAGTGACGGGGGACATGGAAGGGAACATGGAAATGAGGGTCTAGGCTCAAGGGGCATGCACAGCAGCAGCTACACTTACCACCTGAGGGAGGGCAAGAGAGCCCAAAGAGGGGTCCCCGGAGCAGACGAAGGAAAAAGGAGTTATTGAGTCAGAGCAGCATTGAGAAAGCCCAGGGCCCAGACCAGACACAGCCTCACAGCCCACCAGGGCGCCCACCTGTCACTTCACTGTCTGCCTAATGGGGGGCAGCGTGGCGAGAATGCCCCTTGAGGGGAAACTGCCATTTGACTGGCAGGGGTGTGGCACTTCCATGGGGCCACATTCGGGCTTGCAGGACATGGGGTAGGAAGAGCATGTGATCTTTTAGCAATGTCTGGCTTGGACACAGCCAGGGTCACACATCTTATTTAGCATGTTCCAAACTCCTGTGTGCCTCAGCTGTTCTCACCGCCTGCTTGGGCGGGACCGAGGCACCTCTCGGGTGGATAAACTAGGGCAGGGCCATGGCTAGAGGCTGCAACGCCCAGTCTCAGGTCTGCTAAAAGAAACACGCAGGAGGTCTCAGGAAAGGGACTGGAGAAAGGGCTGGCCCCCAGGTAACCAGGGTGAGTCAGTGAGAGGACATTCCCCCTCCCTACCTCCCCAACTCACATGTCCGTGCAGGTCCGTGTTAAGCAGCATCAGGGCACAGGTGAGCGTGTGGATCCCATCTGAATCAGAGATGGTGGCATCCTCAGAGTAAGAACCCTCTCATTCCCACCCCCAGTCACCCCCCTGACAGAGCCAGCCTGAAGGTCTTAGAGTCTGGAAGAGGCCAGCCACCTGCTAAATGCATCTCAGGGCCCAGGGCCAGCATGGTGCTCCCTGCCCTACCCCCACTGCAGCACTAGAGTCATCTGCCTGCCCAAGGTCAGGGCCAACCCCTCTCTCAGAGGAGACTTGACCACACTGGGCCTGCTCTAGCCCCAACTCCTGCCTCTTGTGGCCAAACTCACCTTGAACCTCAGACCCAGGAATAGGTCTGGTTCGCAAGCCATGTCTCTGCCATGGCCTGTGTCTCTTCCAATAACTGACCTACTCCCCCAGTTTTTGGAACTCAGGTCCATCCTTAGGGCAGGTCCGGCCCGTACGAGGACCACAACCCAGACCCCCACATCAGGACTCCCACCACACTGAGAATCAGCATTGCAACAGGAGACCAGGGAGAATAAAGACCCAAAGGACTGAATCTCTAGGGTGGAGAGTTCTCAGGCCTGGGAAATGACAATGGGCAAGACATTTGGACGTCTCTTGCCCAGCAGGCAGTGCCCATTCGTGTGCTATAATTTATTCACTCGATGTTTATTGAGCAGGACAGACATGGCAGGCGGACCAGGGGCAGGAGGAAGCCAGGCCTGGCGGGGGGGGGGGGGGGACAGGCGGGGGGGGGCAGGTGGCCATACCTTCTGAGGTGCTGTCATCAGGGTTGCACTGGCAGTATCGGCGGGAGAAGTGAGTAAGGACCCGTTCTCGCTCCTGTGTCTCCCCCATCAGTGGGAAGGCCTTCAGGAAAGTTCTGGGGGGCAATTCAAGGATGCTGAGGGCCTCCCAGAGCCCCTGAGTCAGTCTGGGCCCTCGTCCAAGGTAGGAACCCCCAACACACCACACACATACACACACATATCTGCCCAAGGGGGCCGATGCCCTAGTGCCCCAGTATTTGAGCCCAGGGAGACACCCTGGACACCAGGACAGCTTCTGGAGTTTCAGCCCTCATCACCCTCCCGGGCCCTTCTGGTAGTAGGCAGGGGACAGATTGAGAGGGACACCTCAGTGCCAGCATCAGCTTCTCTTTGGAAGAAATGCTCATTTCTTGCTCCCTCCTCTGTGCCTGGGCCCAGACTGACCACACCTTCCCCTCGGACCGCACTGCCTCAGTCACACCCACTCTTCACTCTGTGCCACCAGCCGAGCCCCAGGCCCAACCTGTCCTCCCTCACTTCTCCCACCCCAAGTCTGAGCTGTCACCAAGTTATCTTCACCCCCAATCTCAACCCTTTCTCTCCTCCTCTGGCCTCCTCTGCGCCCAGGACACCTGCAAGGGCCTCCAGACACGCTGCACAGCCCCACACATCCTCCCCGCAGACACCGGCTGCTCTTCCTAAACACACATGCGGCCCAGGCTCTCCCCTGCTGAAAATTCCTCACTGGCTCCCCAGAGCCCTCAAAAGAATGTCCAAGCACCTCACATCCTGGCCTTCCTGACTGCCCCACCTGCTGCCTCCGCACATGGCATTCACATCCTGGACAGGACAGGCACTTCCGGTGCTGAGAGGCTGGGCCCTGCCTGGAAGGCCTTCCCTCCCCTGCTGGGCAACTCCGCCCGGTTCAAAGGTCATCAGCTCTCAGGTGCCCTGGCATCTAATCCCCAAACCAGACGGACTGGAAGATGGGGCCGGGTCCCTCACCTGGGGGAAATTGCAAGCTGAGACAGTTTGGGTCTCTATCTGTCCTGGGTTCGTGAAGCTAATACCTTCCTAATTTTGCATTTGGTTCCTGTAGTGCCCAGTGTGCTTTATCCTCTCTCATGCTGCTTCTAAGGTACCCTGGGACGTAAGAGCCCCACTTGGCCAGTCCTTACCCTCTGAGGCTTCCTAAGGCATCTAAAACTGCCGACCACGCCCTGGCCAGTTTGGCTCAGCGGTTAGAGCGTCAGCCTTCGGTCCAGAGAGACCCAAGTTCGATTCCTGCTAAGGGCACGAATCTCGGTTGCAGTTTGTCCCCGGCCCTGGTTGGGTCGTGTGGGTGGCAGCCACTGGATGTGTCCCTTTCATGTTGATGTTTCTCCCCCCCCACCCCCACTCTATCTGAACGAAAAATGTCCTCAGGTAAGGATAAAATAAATAAATAAATAAATAAAACTGCTGACCACAGTTTGATCCCAATCAATCAACTGCTGTACAAAACCACTCTATCTGCCATCCAGTTTTCCTCCTCTTCCTCTCTCTCCCGCTCCCTGTTCTCTTCCTCTCAGCTGGCCCCCAGCTCTGTCTGTCCCCTCCCTCTTCTCACACTCCACCAGGACTTTCTTTTCTTCTTCTTCTTCTTCTTTTTTATATGTGCCCCTAGTGGGAACTGAACCCGGGACTCTCTGGTCCACAGGCCAACGCTCCAACCACTGAGCCAAACCGGCCAGGGCTCCACCAGGACTTTCTAAAACCCATCCCTATCCCAGACTTAGCCTGTCCTACTGATGAGCCCTCCATCCCAGCTCCTACTCCCCAGCTGAAACTCCCCTTCCCTGGGGGTCTTCACTGAGCCCCAACCCAGCACAGCTGCCACCAAACTCAGGCCTTATCTTCTCCCACCTGGCCCTCTTCAGATGCCTGACACCTCTGGATCAAGAGCTGCCAGCATGCTGCTCTTAGCACTGCCTCCCAAATCCTACTTTATACCCAGCACCTGCTGTGGCTCCCCAGTGCCTGTGCAGGATAGCCTCAATCTATTGGGCTGATATACAAGGTACTACAGCCCAGTGCCCAGACTCTGATCATGAGCTGACCCACCAAACACCTTCCCCAACCAATCCTCCTCCTTCCAGTGCAAACGTCGGCCTCAGCTCAGGCTACAGCAGCAAACCAACATGTCCTCTGAGAACAATGGGGACAGCCAGGCAGAACACATCTCTCTTGTGCTATCAGAAACCGCTAAGACGACAAAGACCGAAAGGCCCAGATTCTGGAGAGCAGAGGGGGCTGGTCTGCAGCTGCTTGTTCCCTGGGCACAGGCAAGAGGCAGAACTTTTGGTGGCTTCACAGAGCTTAAGAGATAAATCCAGAGACTGTGGAGGCTGTAAATACACAGCCAGTTTTCCTTTGAGAGATTTGCCAAATTCTGACATGGGTGGGCCAGGAAGCCTCCCAGAAGCAGAGGGGTTTGGTTTTTTGATAGTCTCGCCACACTGAGGAGAAAAATCAGGATTCATGACCCACCAAAAGGAGAGGGCCCCATGAATACACCAGGCTCCCTGTGGAAAGCCAGACGGGACCTGCCCCCTGGGATGGAGTGAACCCTAAACCTCTCCTTCGCCCAGCCTTGGTTGGATTCGAACTGTGCCCTGCCTCCCTCTAACTGCCTAGCAAAGGACAGGCAGACCTCTGGGGAGGTGCAGAGAGAGTGATCTAGAGCAGCTATAATTCTATACAACATGCGCGGCACCTAATTAAAATGTTACTGAGCAGACAGAGAGGCCCCTTTGATGGGGTCAAAAGGGAAGAAATAGACACTAGAACAGATACAGATGATACAGACATTGGGATGAGCAGACAGGGACTTTGAAATAACCATGACTAGTATGTCAAGAAAAGAGGGAGGGAATGGAGAAAACAACTGAAAAGATGGGGAATCCCCCAGAGAATTCCAATCTATAAGAAATATTTTTAATAAAATGAAAATTCTGGAACTGAAAAATAGAATAATAGAAAGTAAAAACTCAATAAATGGGTTGACACCCTGTTCGACACAGAAGAAGAGTAAGTGAGCTGTAAGCAGGGCAATAGAAAATAGCTCAGCTAAAGTGTAAGAGACACAGGGGATGAGAAGGTCTAATATGCAAGGACCACCCAGCCTTTAGCTCAGAGACTGCTGCCCCTGCCCAGAGGGCTCTGGCCTGGTGTCACCATGCTGGCTTGGCCACCAGGCCTGCCAGACTCCGGGCTGCGTCCTCCCACTCTGGGCCCTTCTGAGGACTACTCCCCGGTTCCAAGCACCAATGGGACCTGGGATCAAATCTCCCTCAACAACTGTGGGAAAGTCGGAAGAGAGTAGGGGTGTTGCCGTCTTTGCTCTCCTGAGTCACGGCACAGTCCCACCTTCACAGGCCAGCACCCACCACATAGCGGGCACTCCCTGAGTTGCTAGAAGGCTGCTGCCCTGCTGGCCCCTTCCCCAGCCTCCCAGAGGGGCCACGTTTATAACAGAGCTGGCGTGAGAATCCAGATGTGCAGCCTGCACCACCTGTGGGCACTGCCCCATCCCAGCCCCACTGACCTGAGCGCTCTGTCCAGAGTGAGGCCCGAGAAGTCGAAGAAGCTGAGGTACTCCCCGGCCACCAGCCTGCTGAACTCGTTGCTGCCAGGAGAGCATAGGTGTCCATGAGAAGCAGGGCACAGCAAACAATGGGGGGTACATGGGCAGTGATACCCTCGTACCCTGACCCATCCACCCAGACCTGCTGGCCACTAGGCTGCCTTCCCTGCTGGCCAGTCAGGCTCTGAGTCCAACCTTGAGCTGGGGGTCAGGAAGGCTTCCTAGAGGAGGTGATGTCTTGGGCAACACCTATAGGAAGTAAGAGCCAGCCAGGTGAAGAGAGTAGGGGGAGATGACAGTGTGTCCCCAATAGACTGCACAACATGTCCAAGACGCTGCTAGCAGGGCCATGTGGCCAGAGCCAGAGAGCAGGAAGGGAGGCAACAGGAGGGAGGCAGGGAACAGGGCCTGAGGACCGAGGGAAGGATCAGATCGGGACTTGATTCTGAGGGCTGATGCGGGGGTTGCGAGGTGGGGTGAAATGGTCAGATTTGTATTTGGAACACCTACCTGCTGAGTGGAGACCCACTGTGGGGCTGCAATAGCCGCCCAGGAAAGAAAAGGAAGGGGGAGGAGGAGAGAGATTTCAGAGGCAGAATCCACAGGATAGGGGGATGAAACAGGTGTGGGACATGACATAGGTGGCCCCTGGGGAAGACATCCAACGCTCAGGACAACAGGTAGGAAAGGATGTACAGAGTCATCAGCCCATAGCTGGTAAATGGCTCCGTTTCTTCAACATATACATGGCAGGACTGTCTGATTGTTGGGGATAGGCCACCCAGAGCACAAAATCCCAAGAATTTTGGCTCTAAAGAAGCAGGGGAAGGAAGACCAGTTGATGAAGGATTTTCGTTTTCGGTTGGGAAAGACTTAAGCACAATTACACATTTATGGGAAAACTCTTACAAAGGGAGGGATTGAAAAGACAAGGGAGGATGAGGATCAACCATAATAAAGGCTTCTGAAGGGTGTCACTGGGGGTGGGAGGGGGCGGATCACAGCCCAGGGCCAGTGGTTGTGATTTCTGAACTGGGGCTGAGGACAAGGGCAGGAGCCATGTTGAGGCTGTGGAAAGTGGAAGAAGCTGGAAGGAGGGAGAAGAGAGGGATCCAGGGGCAGAGCCAAACTGAGTGCCTCCCTGTGGCCTAAGCCCCCAGTAGCTCACCCTTGTGTGTCTAGGGTCTGAACTGTCCCGTTGGCCGTGTGACCTAGGCTTGCCTCTGCACATCTCAGAGCCTTAAAGGGGTGCTGGGAGGCACTCCGGAGGAGGCGTGAAGGCAGGGGGGCATGCTGCTGGCCAGACGTGCTCAGCATGAGCCAGCGATTTCCTGGGCCTCACAGGCCCCACCTGCCCCCACCCCGTTCCAGACTCCCTCTGCCTGATTCCTTTCCCCTAGTCCAAAGGTCAGGGCTGTGCTTTGGTGGCTTCGGCCCCTTTAGCCATTTCCAATAGACAGTGAATGGGGCTTCATGAGGACCAGGAACCCCTTCCCCAGCTCCTGGGTCCCAGGCCCTCCCAGCCCAGGCCCAGATTCTCCTCCCTCTGCCCCCATCAGGGAGGCCACGAGCCCCACCCAGATGCTCCGTCCTTACTACCATCCACAGTGGCCCTATAGCCACATGCCACACCCCACTCCCCCAGCCCCGAGGGGCCACCCGGCCACCTCCTCCCCTCCCTGAGAGTGTGGGCCCTCACCCAGGCATCCCAGAAAGGAAATGGATATAGGGCAAATCCTGGAATGAGGACGGCGGGAGGAGGAGGAGCTCTTAGGAACTACTGGGAGCCTCCCAAGCACCAGACACCCCTAACAGAAGTCACCTACACCCCTTTCAGGCTGGGGGAGACACTGGGTTTGCCTGGGGTGGGGGTGTGGAGACAAAACTCACTTCTTGCCCAGCTGCCGGGCAACGTCACAGCGCTGGAAGCCCTCGAGGTGGTAGAGGCGGCGAGCCAGCCGGCGAGCAGCTTCGCTCACCCCCTGGCACCCGTTGGCCAGCGTGTCTGTGCTGCCGGGCTCCAGCCCCTCCGAGCTGCTCAGCTCCGAGTCCGAGTCAGACAGGCCATCCTTTAGGCTGGGGTCACTGCAGAGAAAAGGGGGGACGGGGAGAGGAGGGGCTCAGAGGCCCTGGGGAGAGGCTGGAAGGCCTCCCCAGGCCTCTGAAACCCACACAGGGTCAGAGCAGGGGAAGAAGCTCCAGGAGAGGAGCAAGTCAGACTCTGAAAGAGCCCCTCAAGTAAAACCATTAGCTGCTCCACAAACCCACAGCATAGCTCCCTGAGCCCACCAGGCTAGACAGGCCTAGAAAGGCAGAATGGACACTCAGGCCTGGGCTGGGAAGTCTGGGTGCAGAGGAAGGACACAATGACCTTGGAGAGGGTTGTTCACTCTGGGCACCAGGTTGCCCTCACTTGCTTTGCCTTCTCTGGGTCTGTTTCCCCAACTGCTCAATGGTTCTCCCAGCTCCCAGCCTGGCACTGCCTCACCTGGCTGAATTCAGCAACTTGTCCGTGTCCTCCTCCTCTTCCTCCTCCTCATCCCCACCTGGGCCCTGGGGTCCATCTTCATGGAAGCCATTGGGCACGGCTGTGAGAGACAGGCAGCTCAGGACGTTCTCTGAGCGGCTGCTGGAGATGGAGCGCCGCAGGGGGCTGCCCAGCTCCCCATCGCCGCCAGCTGCTCCCATGTCCCCCTCGGGCTCCATGTCCCCAATGCCCAAGGAAGTCCCTGGCTCAGGGCTGTCACGGGCCCGCTGCTGGATGAGGGGTGTGAGTGGGGCCTCGAAGCTGACACAGCTGTCACTCTCGTCCGTGAGGCTCAGCACGTCTAGGGAGTCGAGGCTGCTGTACTGGGTGCCCCGCAGCAGGTCTGACTCCACAATCTTCTCAAACGTGGCACTGAAGCCGTCCCGTACATCTGGCTCTCCAGGGCCACCCAGCCTGCAGGATGCAAGGACCAGTCAGCATCATGCAAGGGCGCCCCCTTTACAGGTGCTGGGACTGTACTGATCTGTGCCTGGGAGCTCCCTGTGGATGGGGGACAGGCATGGATTGTGCTCTGTTTATTTTTTCAGCCAACTCTCCAGATGCTGGCTGGTTACTGGGGTACAGCAGTGAAAAGGACAGGCATGGTCCGCCCCCCAGTGCCTAATCCACACCTGGTGCATAGCAGGCATCAGTAAATGAATATGTCCTCTTCTCCCAGCCTGGCCCATGGGGCTGCTCCCCCTATCACAGCTAGAGTCACAGCAGGTCATAATTTTGCTGGCCTGTAGCCTGGGAGTTTCTTAGCTCGGCCAACCACATTCCAGCTCTCAGGCTTTGCCTTAGTGCCACCTCCTCAGAGAGACTGAGGGAGGCAGGTCCACACCACCCACCTCACTGACCCCTCCTCATTATTCTCCATCTTCAGGGAAGCTCCTCATGTCCTCCCACCCCCTCTCAGGATGTAGTATTCTGGTTGTTCCCCTGTTTACCATCTGTGCCCCAGCCAACACCCAAGGCCAGAAGCACCCAGCACATAGTAGGTACTCAGCACACCTTGTTGCATGGTGACTGGGTGAATGAGCAGAGGCTTGTAGCCCCATGGCCCACACACTGCCTAAGGCCCTGCAGGGCTTCATGCTGCCCCAGAAGAAGCCTTTGTGCTTCCCATTTATAACTGGGACCTGCCCCCAAACACCCCAGCCCCCCCTTCCTACTTTATTTTTTCCAAAGCACTTACCCCTTTCTAACATATTTTAATACAATGTATTATTTTATGAATTATTATCTGTCTCCTGACTAGAATATAAGCTCCATGAGAGTAGGAATATTTGTATGTTCTGCTCACTGATGCAGCCCCAGCACCTAGAACAAAGCATCACACACAGATGAACCATCCTGGAGAGATGATGCTCAGGTGAGCAGGGAGGCCAGGGAAGGAAGAGGGCAGAGATTGAAGGACAGGGAGACTCAGAGAGAAACAAGAAAGAGACAAAAATAAAGACAAGAAGAGAGAGAGAGACGACAAAAAGAGCCCTGGCAGATGTTGCTCAGTGATTAGAGCGTCGGCCCTTGGACCGAAGTGTCACAGGTTCAATTCCCAGTCAAGGGTACATACCTGTGTTGCAGGTTCACTACCCAGCCTGCAATCAGGGAGCGTGTGAGAGGCAACCAATCGATGTGCCTCTCTCACATGATATTTCTCTCCCCACTCCCCCCACTCCCTCCCTCCCTTCCACTCTCTCTACTTTTTAAAATTTAAAATTTAAAAAAAGACAAAAAGATACTGAGAGCATCAGAAACAGAGACCGGGAAACATAAAATAGGAGAGACTGAGAGTAACAGAGCTGAGGAAAGATAAAGATGGACAGAAACACAGAGACAGCAAGAAACAGAGAGACAAAGAAGGAAGCAGGCTGAGCCCAGCCCATTTTTCATAAATCACAGACCATCACTTGCAAAAAAACACACCCCTCTGTTTCCCTGAGGATCTGGCTAAGCTCAGCTTCTGCCCCAGCCCCTGCTGTCTAGCAGAGATTGAGCTGTGTTTGGAGAACTTGGAAGTGCCCCTTCCCCTCAAACCCCTCCTAGAACACCCCCCTACCCAGTGTCTAAGATTTGGTCCCAGTGTGTTTCCTGGAGAAACATACTGACCTGAGGGGGAGAAAAGCTGTCTTTCACCCCACTCCCAGTAGGAACTAAAGCTTCAGGCTCATTAAGCCTTTAAGGGGCCAGAGAGGAAAGTAGGGGAAGTGTGCAGAAATCTGAAAGGTGGCAGGATGCCTGGCAGGGGACTGGGGTGGAGTGGTCTCTTACTGAGCTCCAGTAGGAGGGAAGGAAAGAGATGAGTCACAGAACAGACACCTAAATCTGCCCAGCAAAGGCACCTCAGCCAGGCCTGCTCTGGGTCCTGCAGACACCTGAGCAGCAATACAGAGCCTGCCCTTGGTGGCCTCTCACCTTATTATCAGAGCCATGAATGGTCCTCCCACCTACCCACCCTCTCATGTACCTGAACAGAACTGATGGGTGGTTCTGGCGGGGCTTGAAGACCATAAGCCCAAACTCCAAACCTCCATGTGCCCCACCTTCAGTCTCCTAAATAAATGTGGTGCCTAAATGCAAACAGTGTGCTCCCAGAAGCCTCATCCCCCTGCCACACCTCACTGCTAGACAGCTGACACCCTAGGACCTGCATGGATGGAAATTCTGTTATGGTAACAGCATACCCAGTACACACAGGGGCCTCACCCCTACCACATTCCTACCCAGAGTTCTAGGCACACTCAGCCCTACACACCCATGTGCAGGCCCAAATGTGCAACCACACATGCACAGGCCAAGCATGTACAAACACCCTCCACCCACAACCCTATGCACCAGCATGCTTACACAGCCCTGTGCACACACTAAGGCACAGACCAGGCACACACATGCACATTCCTCATGCACATGCTCATACACCTCCTACACACCTGCACACTGAGACTTCCATACTTCCTTTCTCAGCCCACCCTGAGGTCTTCTAGACATTCCCCTGGCCCATTCCCACCCTTCTTGCCCAAAAGACACCTCCAAGATGCAGGGTCTCTCCTCCTGCTGAGGATAATAGAAGTGTGGCTGTAATTTCAATAAGTAGGACTGAAGTAAGATTCCTGGTAGAACTTCCAGATGGCACTTAGGTCAGCAGTAGCTGACAGGGAAACCCACAAAGTCTACTCTCTTGAGGTCAGTTGCAGAATTGGGAGATCCTCATCTCCAAAAAGCAGAGGGATGGACCAGATGACCTTCCACATCAAGGCATTTTGGAACTCTGATGTCCAGCCTGGGCTGGAGGGAGGAGTATAGCCTTCCAGCCCCACATAGAAATAGCCCATGGTGGTTTGGGGGACTGAGAGTGGGGGACACAATAGGCCTATTGGCCTTTGAAATCTCATGGCTCTATTTTCCCCAAACACTCAGAAGCTGGGCAAAATAGGGACATGAAATTCCCATTTTATAGATGGTAAAAACAAGAACCAGAGAAGCTAAGTGGCTAGGCCCAGGCCACATAGCATGGAGCAGCCAGTGTGGGGAGCCCCTATCCCGAGACACCCACTTACCCGAGCTGAGGGTCCTCAGTGTCTGGACAAGGGCTCCTGGAGGCATCTTCTTCTGCTAGCCCACCAGCCCTCCAGGGCCTGGACTCTGCAGAATCTTCAAGAATGTTCGAGTCTGGCCCCTGGGTTAGACCATTGGTGAGGGAGAAACCAAGGCTGAGTCCATGGAGAGCCATGTCCGGGCCCTTTGTGGGCTCTTCAGTGTCCACAAGTGTGCCCCTTATCTCATGTCCTGGGTTGTTGTGGCTACTATTCAGGTTCTCACTATCTCTCACTCCATTCTGGACTCCGGGCTCCTCCTCAGGCTCCCGGCTCGGGTCCCAGGTGGCACCATCTTCCCCAGGCAGTAAAAATGGGAGCTTATTTTCATCCATGGCAGGCACGGCTTCTGCCACACGCTGGCTCCACTGGACCTGGCAGCAGATGGAGAGATGAAGGGGCGAGTCAGACAAGGCAGGTGCTGGATGGTCTTAAAGCCCAGCGGAACCAGCACCAGGCAACCTGCCTGGGGACAGAAGGATAGCCGAGATGACCTTCTCAGGACCTCCTGAGTGTTGTCTGGGTTCAGACCGTGGTGTCCTCAATGCTCTGCTCAAACCAGCCCCATTCTTCCCTCCCCCGATTCCCTACCATCCTATGTGCCCCAATCCTGCCTTCCCTGTTACCTCTTGTGAGTGAGTCTCTGTGTGCCCTCCAGAATTCACCAAAGCCCTTTGAGGAAAATCCAGGTTGAGAGGACCTAGGGAAGGGTCCAGGTCACCTCCAAGCCCCCTTCCTCTCCCGCTCGTGAGTGATGGAGACAAAACCCCGGCTGACAGCAGCCAGCCTCCTTGCCTTTTTGCATGTTCTCTCGCCCTGGCTGCAGGAGCCAGACGACAGTGAATCTGTGGTGAATGGAGGGAGCTGGGCTGGGGGGCTTCCTGTAGAAGGGGAGTTGGAAAGGAAGCAAGGAAGTCAACAGAAGTGCAGCCTTATCTGAACAGAGGCCACCTCGGCGTCGCCAGAGTGAGCCATCCCATGGCCCAGCGTGAGGCGCTGTCCAGGGTGCTGGGCGGGTGCAGCGCCACCCCGGAGCTTCGCGGATAGCCGAGAGCGTGGCGGCTCTGCTGCCCAGTGCCCAAAGCTCTGGCAGTGGGAAGGAGAATGAGGGGGCCTGGGGTTCTCCTCCACACCCGGGCCTGCAGAACTCACCCAGCCCTGAGGAGGAATTGGTGATGAGGCTGCCATGGGGAACTCTGGGGAGAGCCCAGCAAGGGGAGGGCCCTGCTCTGCCCATTGCACTGTGTGACCTCTCATGGGTCCGCGTTGGGACTCCTCACTGCCCCACCTAGGCCAGGCCCACTCTCCTTTCCCCTGCTCTGGGCCTGTTTCTCCTCTATAAAATGAGGAGACCCATTTTACCTGCCATTTCCACCCCACCTTTACAAGAGCATTGGAACCAGCCCACATTCCCCAGAGGCTTCCTGCCCGGATGTGATGGGCTGTGTTCTGGCTCATCCCTTTCTGCCCCCACCCCACCCAGTCTAGGCTATTTTCACCACCACCTCCTACCCTGCCTCATGACCTCTGCCACCAGGAACACAGGCCAGCCTCTCCAAACAACTTCCTGCCCCCCTTCAGGCCTCAGCTTCCCCCAACACTCCCTACTCTACTCTGTAGAAGGGGTTCGAGGACCTCAGGAGAGGCTGGAGGAGAGGGGCTGGCCAGGCTCCTGGGCTGTAGCAGACAAGCTTCAGGTACAATCACAGGGATTTAAGTTAGACCCATACTGCCTGTCTTGCCTGGTCATGCATGTCACATAAAGGACTTAAATTACAGATTATGAGGCCCTCCCCCCAGATCTCCTGAACCAGAATCTACAGGGAACTGATCTAGTGGGAGGAACTTCCCACTTAGAGAACATGAGCCTGGAGAGGAAAGTGAATCTACTTCTCTGGGGGTTTCTGGGCCCTTGAGGAAGCTCTGACACCATAGGACCACTTAAGATTCATTTAGCCCTGGCAGGTGTGGCTCAGTCAGTTAGGCATCTTCCTGTGAATTGAAAGGTTGCTGATTCAATTCCAGATCAGGGTACATGCCCAGGTTGCAGGCTTGATCCCCAGTAGGGAGTATGAATCAATCTCTCTCTCTCTCTCTCTCTCTCTCTCTCTCTCTCTCTCTCAAAAATCAATAAAAATATATATATTTTAAAAGATTCATTTAACCTCGATTGTCAAACATGAAGTGAAAGAGAAAAGGACAGGACAGGGATCTTGGGGCCCCAGCCCACCCACCCTGAGTGTTACCTCCTAGAGTTTTGAAGACTATGTGAGCATAGATCTTACTTTTAAAAAAAAATTCATAGATTGAAAAATAAAATTAAAAAGTCTGTAGATCCAGGTTCTAGGATATCTGGACCCTGATCCTAAGACACCAGGGACCCCAAGGGGCTTGGCCCTGAGTGAGGGAGTCTTTCTGGTCTGCCCTAAATCCCTGCTGCTTCGGTTATTATTTCACTCTGTTCCCGTGGGTTGTGTGCTCAGCGGAGGGAAAGAACAGGTCATCTCCTCACTAGACTCCTTGGGGGTGGGGGAGCATTGAGAAAGGAAGGAGGAGGGAGAATGGGGCCTCTGGCCTGCTGCCTAAGTTCTAGTCCTCTATCCTGCTTTCTAGCCCAGAGGCCTGGATGAGCATTGGATTTGGGGCACAGGGCTTCACCCCATTCCATCGAGGTGCCGCAGGCTCTCATACCCTCACATGGAGGCTGAGCCTGGCAGGGTGGGGTACCTTCTGTTTTGTCAGGGCTCTCCCTGAGCTCCCAGTGAAGCCTGAGACTTGAGAGCATAAGCAGTTTTACCTGATGCTTAGTCTATACCAGCCCCAAAGCCAGGTTTATAGACAAATCAAGGACCTCTTGGGAGGTTCCTACATCATCCCCCACCACTACCAGTTGGCTCTAGCCTTACCTGCCCTGCCATGTCCTCCTAAAACTGGGAGTGAGATGGAGGTTCTGCCAACACTGGGCACTGGGCCGTCTCCTCGGCCTCTGGGGGTGGGCAGACAAGGGGCAGCATTGAACTCCACTCTGGGCGGGGGGCCCAGAGTCCCTGCCTGGGCTGAGGGCCAGCTGAACACAGAAATAGTTGAGCCAGGACCCCCTCCCCTCTTTTAATAAACCCAAGGGAGGGGCACATAAAGGGGGGCTTCAGAGCAGAGGTGTGAAACAATGCCCCAAGTCCTCACAGTGAACCACTTTGTGCCCTGGGGCTCATTGTTCCTTCTGGTAGACCCATCTGCAGAATGGGGGCATCACCTCTGCTCCCCTTCCCCAGGGCTGGCGGAAGAACTTAAGGTCATGAGTGCTGGGAGAGCTGAGTTCCAAGGAAGAACAAATACGACAGAGGTCCAAGAGAAAGGCAGCCATGGTCCACTCTTTCCCACCACATTTGACAAATGGGGAGACTAAGGCACAGAATAGGACAGGCTTCGCCTGAGGTCACACAGTAAGTAGCTGCTTCTAGAACTCAGAGTAGCCTCCCTCTGCACCTGGAAGGTGCAAGGTGAGCCCCAATTTCTCAGGTCCCCTGTCAGACACTCTCACAAGATCAAGGGCTCAAATCTTCAACCAGAAGAGTCCACCCGAAGCAGTGACCCTACCCACCTCTAGCCCTTCTGACAAGAGGGGGGAGGTGGGCACAATGGATCCACAGGTCATGCATCCCAAGGACATGCCTGTAAATGACAAGTTGCCAATAGCTAGATCCCCTGCATCCTCTCTGCCTGAACCAAGCCCTGCTCCAAGCAGAGGCTCCTGTAACCACTGCCCTTGAGATGACCTTGGGCTCAGCAGCCTCTTTTTCAGCACCAATTAAGATGGGGCCCATGATGACAGTAGAACTCTGGCTGGGCCAGGGCTAGATGCAAGCCAGCCACTCTCCGTCTCAGCTGCCCCTGAGACAACCCTGCCCCCCCCCACTCTCCCTATGGAAGCTGGAGTGAGTTGTGAAAACAAATTATATCACATGGCTCCCTCACTCACAACCCTCAACAACTCCCACTGCCCTTCAGTTAGAATCCAGTCTCCTCAACGTGGCCTAAAAAAGCCCTGCCTGAACTGGTTCACTGCCCTCTCCCCATCCCCCACCCCCTCAGCCATGTGGCCTTCTTTCTGCTCCCTGAGCTCATTCCCACCTCAGGGCCTTTGCACCAGCTGTACCCTTGACCTAGAATGCTCTTTCCCTAGATCTTTACATGAATGCCTCTTCTGTCACTCAGGGCTCAATTCCAACCCGCCTCCTCACAGAAGCTCTCTGTGACCACCCGGCACTCTCTCACCCGCCTCCATGGGGCAGTGTATCTGTTAGGCATCACTTAGGGGAACTGAAACCCCCTTTTCTATTTGTTTCCCTACTTCCTGCCTCACTAGGATGTAAGTTCAGTGAGGGTGGGGACTGTGTCACATTCACTGCCATCTTCCCCAGAGCCCAGCATACTGCCTGACAAACAGTGGGTAGTTTTTATATATTTGGGGATGACAATTATCCCTGTTCTAGGCAGAGGCTGAGAGGGGTTGAGGAACATGCTCAGGGTCATGAAGCCGGTAAGTGGCAAAGCTAGCATTCTGCTTGGAATAATGCTGGACTGTCAGAGGGATAACCTCGTACAGTGCCTTCCATGCTGGGATCCAAGCCAGGGACTGTGAGGAGCCCAAGGAAAGGCTAGAAGAAGGGCCAGGCAGGGAAGGCTCCAGGGCTCAACATGCTCTTTAAGACAGAGGGGAGAGTGCATGGGTGCAGGTGCCTGTGTACACGTTCGTGAGCAAGCATACAGTGCAGGCATTTGTGGGTACATACACACATGCGCACACACCTGGAGGGTGGTAGGCAGCCACTCAGCAGGCAGTCCCCTGGGTGGTGTGGTGGGGATGGGGAGCCTAGGGACAAGGTTCAGGGCAGCTGGACCTACATCAATGGGCAACTGGGGCTGCAACCATCCTGCTTTGGGAGGAGCCAGGGGCAGGGAAGGGACAACCCAATGCTTCAGGCTAGGGTGGAGGGTGGAGAAGACAGGCACCCACACTGACCACAGCCATACCCAGTGACAACAGACAGCTGGGTGGGTTTGGGAGGATATGGGGGCATACAGGCCACTTGGTGGAAATGGGGGCTCAGGAGGCAGAGCTACAATAAGCGACCCAGGGCAGGCAAAATCTCAGAGCCGTGTGGGATGGTCACCAATGCTTAGAGCCCAGGTAGGGTATGTCAGCGTGGCTGGGATCAGAGAAATTATTTTCAAATGTCAGTGTAGAAGCAAAGGTGAGACCACATTTGTCCCAGAGAGCAGGACTGAGAGCCAAGACCCTCAGTTTTGCTCCCAATGTACAAGAGAAATTTGG